GGAACGGACCGGTGCCCCTGACGGGAGCGGGGGGAGGCTTCCTTGGGCCCCCAGCGACCTCATTTCCTCCTCCTGGCACGCCTCCAATCCTTGAGTGGCACGCAGGTCATCCAATCACCGGCCGCTCTGGTTGTTGATACTCTAGCGTCGGCCAATAAGGAGTGAGGGGGTGGGGCTTGAGAGGGGTCGCGAAAAGGTTGGGCTCGAAGCCAGTCAGTCCTGAATGTTAGCCTACCTTGCAAGGTTCTTGAGAAGATCAAGGGGGGCACAATAGCCGCCCAGAGTCGCTGGGATTCACACGGCATATCAAGTTAGTGTTGTTATTGTTATTATACTGAAGGAAGCTGATTTTGTTGTTGTTTTTTAATTTGAAGGATATATAAATATCTTCTATGTCACCAGTTTTGACTTGATATTTATTTAAAATTTAGATTTCTAGGACTGCCCAACTCATTGCCGAGTCTGGGTAGTGTTCAAAAGTTAAAAACAAATACTTAAACAAGTATAATAAAAAAAGGGCAGATTTTAAAAAAAAGATGACTGTAACAGGGGAAACAGACATAAACTATATATATATACAAAACTAACCCCATAGAGAACACGCACCCCACCCAAGATCTGGGGAAACAGCCAGTCTTCAAATATAATTCATACAGCTGAGTACGTTTCTCCCCAGCCCTCCTTGATATTCCACACTGACTTGGAAAGTGTTTATCTCTTATGCACAGCTGTCTCTGACCCTGTTTGGTTAATGTGCTTCTAAAACTCATGTGTTGGAAAAGGAGAGGAGGTTGGGAAACCTACAAAGCTTTTCTTTTAATTACTTAGCTAAATTTATATTTAATATCATGCATACATCTAATTCCATTTTGAAAAGGAGATGTTCAATCTGTTTTGGAGGGTAAAATATTAACCAGACTGCATGAATAAACTAAGGTCTTCTACAAATAATTCATGCACACAGAACTGTGGTTGGGAAGAAGTAGGTCAGGCGTATAATGTGCCAGTAAATGGATATTTCCTCGCCACCCCCCGCATGAAGGGGTGCTTTACAGCTGACTGTTCTTTGTTCATATTGCAGACTTTATTTTGGATTTAGCCACCCAGATGAAACAACAGCAGTAAAAGAGCATTTGGCTGGAATGTTGTGGATATATATGGCAGGTAAAATGGTTTCCTAGAATCCAAGAAACTAAGCTGAGGATACAGTATGTGTTAATAAAGAAATAAATGTTTTCAAATGTTGGCTGTTCCAGAGACCCTAGCACAGCATTCCTCAACCTTCGCAACTTTAAGATATGTGGACTTCAACTTGCAGAATTCCCTAGCCAGCCATGCTGGCTAGGGAATTCTGGGAGTTGAAGTCCACATATCTTAAAGTTGCGAAGGTTGAGGAACACAGCAAGGACCAAATGGTGCAGTAATTAGATCAGACCAAGCCATTCACTGATTTCTCACCCTCATTTTAAAGCAACAATAGCAGCCATATTTGGTTTCCTCATTAGACGATCTTGCTAAATTCATTTTGGCAAAAAGAAACAGCCTTTCACTGCTAACCAGTAAGAAAAGTGTGAAACAGTCAGGATTTCATTACTTAATTTAGCGATGAAAATGTTACCTATGGTTGAGGGGATTATTTTGAAGATCAAGTTCTGAAAATTGTATGATGGATTGGAACTGTTAGACAGATCCCACATGTTCAAGCAGCGAACCCAAGTTCCTTTTTTTGGTATCAGTTGTGAGAAGTTTGGACAAAATAGAAATCTTAAAATAATAAGCTTGTTTTGTGTGTGTGCGTGATCTATATATTTTTAAGGATAATCACAATCTTTGCAACATGAGATATGGAAAACTTGGAATTGGTGAAACCCGACCAAGAAGGACCATCAGCAGACACTGATACTAGGAATGCTCACAACTCTGTTGATTATAACATAAGTAATAACAGGTCAGTGGGAAATGTATACAGTCTACAGTAATGTGCTTCTTAAAGTCTATAGTTTTTTCAGCATCTGCTTTTTCAAACAGAATAGCAAGATTCTAATTTTAGCACAATCTTGCCTAAGCTTGTCCAAAAATCTGCTTGAATTTTCTAACCTGCAATTTTCTTATCAGTTCTCAGAAAAAGGTGATATAGTGCAAGTGAAGCAGAGCTGAAAAGCATGAAGTTGCTGCTTCTAGAAACAGGGATATATCTGTGGAGGTGGCCTAGAGTTTTTACAAATAGCATGCAGAATAATCATAATTTTACAGAAACCCAAATAAATTGGCTGATTTATATGCTACCTGTGCTAAGGTAGTATGAAGAAACGCATGGAAGAACATAGCAAAACAGAGAACTGCATTAATGTATGCAGGCGCTAAAATAAGATTTTGAGGAGTGTTAAATGGAAAAATCATAGAAATACAAGCTTACTAGATAAAATAAAATGCCTTGTATATTTTAATCAAGCTGACAGCTATTGAGAGCTTAATTTCATTTCATAAGGATTAGGTTCCTCATCAGACAAGACTAAGGGATTTTGATGGTACAGAAATGGCTTGTTATTGACAAGTCATTTATTTTAACTGACACTTAACAACTTCCACTTAAAGGTCCGGGAATAACCCAGCAGATTTTCTGTGGTCAGTTCCATATTGTCTCCAGGGCATGAAGGGGGGTGTTGTCAGCAAAGCACAGCCGAGTCTCAGTAAAATAAATAATTCACTTTTTTTCCCCCTCAACAGAAGCAGCCCTTCATCCAACCCAAATGGTGTCTCCAGTGTCTCGGGAAAAGTTGGTCCTTCTGTGATTCCTGAGGAGGTTGGTTTGCCGGCTTCATTTGTGCAAGATGCTCAGAGAAATGGTGACTCAGAAATACTGAAGAATTGTGAGGTATGTAATAGTCTTTTCATGTACGTTTCTCAGTGATTATGAACACCAGTGTAAACTTCAGCTTTCTAATACAGTATGTAAGTTGGGAGTGATTTTTGTAATTCACCAAAGGCACAAACGCAGGTCCCATGGGCCCATCCAGATCAGTCATGTAGCAGCTCTCCAGAATCACAGAGTGAGATTTTTCCAAATCTGCTATATATTTGGATATACCAGAATTGAATCAATCCTTTCTATAGGCAAAAACGTACTAGGGCTCTAATTCTCTAGATTCGGGGGTTTTTTCTTTCTTTTGGGGCTCTTTTCGCTTCTGTACAAGTCTCAGACAGAATATAGGTGTCAGATACCGCTTCTAAACAAGAAGGGGAAATCCTCACTTGTATCAGAGATTAACCAATTGCCATGCTAGATGTGGGCAAATGGAATTTATAATTCACAACGGAAGAAAATGCTTACTTTCTCTGAGCAATCTTGTATTTTCTAATAGACCAGGTGGCTACAGTTGTTCAGACTGGTGGAGAAACAATGCCAAGAACAGATAGTTGCCCAGCAAAAAGTATTCTATCATCAAATACATGTAAGTAACTGAATTTACTTTACTTTGTGCCTTTATACTGAAGCCCCAGTTCTCAAAAAATGTGAGATGGGAATCGCTAGGGAGCTGCGGATGACTGGTAGGGATGGAAATGCCTTTTAATTTTCTCAAATGAATGAAATAGCTCCCTCAGCTGGCAGGAAGGTATGTACAATGTGCCTCTATTTATATTTCTTCTGGGTGCCTTGGTATATTAAACCAATCTGTGTTACATATGTTTTGTGTGAGTATGTGTATGTATGCACACTTCTTGTCAACCCAGGCTGTCTTTTCATGCTTCTGTTGAAATGGGTTTTGTCTATAAAAATATGTTCATTGATAGCTTTGTTAGCCTTTTCAACCAAATTATTTACTGATTATTCTAAGAGCATCAACTTTTTTTTCAAAAACATTTTTAGCGTCCCTAAATCTATAGTAGATGCTGTAGTCCCAGGATCCTTTTCCCCTTTCATGTCGGTCGTTATCTTGATCTTAATCCAAGCAATAGTGTATGCTCTGGTGCATTGCTGGTGTTTTGTCTGTCTGCATAAAGCATCAACCAGGTGTATTTTGGTTTGAGGAAGTCACCATGAGCATGTTGGAGACCCATGGCTTTCGCTATTTTGGTTCAATCTTCCACACGTGTACGTACATAACTCCTGGTAAATCTATGCATATGCATTCCTTTTGTGTATATGCGGTAGAGGATAAGTGAGCAATTGTGATTTTCTTAGGGTACTGCCATACCTTTCTTTTTCGAATGCTGAGTAGCTAAAATTTAATTTCTTCAGCAAGGGAGAAGGGGTATTTTGGTTTGCTCTGTTCTGAGCCCAAAGCTACTGTTGATATTATAAAGTATGCTGGGTTTTTTCTCCCCCCAGTTCACAATTTTTATCCTTGGCTCTTCAGAATTAAATTTCATCTTTATTACCACAATTTCAAGGCATCAAGGGCGGTCAGGCTTAGAAGAGTTAGGTAGGCTTTCCTGGGCAATGATTTTTTGCTAAACACCTTTAGAAGAGGTCCATAAATAGTAGGACCTGCTATTTTAATCAGGGCTGGGAAAGTCTTTTGGTTCCTTGTTGCCAAACACTGGCAACGTATTTTGAATTTGCATGCGTAGGTAGGAAGCTATTTTGTGTCAAGATGACCCAGATATTTGAGTTTCCTCTGGCTTGATTGTAATATATCAGTTCTCTTACTCACCACCAATAGTTCCCCTTTTCTCAGAAATTCAAATTCTCACCTCCCGTTTCACAGGTAAATGTATTTCTACATGTGAAAATAGATTTTTCATACAGCTAGTGTATATGTATTTGGTGCATTTTAATATTTACACCATTTTGGTAACTGTTTCTCCCTTACCTTTCCTGATGGCCCTCTTCACTAATAGTAACCAACTGTTCCTGAAATTGAAACAATAACTAAGAGGTATTGTTGTTTTCAGTTCTCTTTTCCCTTCCTACATTGGTTTTTCTTTTTTTTCCCCCCGACGGCTTTTTGTCATTCATACTCACAGAATACTCACATCTTTCTTATCTGTGTGTACATGTCCAAGATCATGTGTTGCACTGGAGAAACCAAGTAATAGTTCCTGTGGTTGGATGTTCTGAAAACTAATTGTGTGGAAGGAATGCTGGTGCACAAACATTGCCTGTTCCAAACCTGGCCATTGACTAAAGTTTTTTTCACTTAATCCTCAAACTCTGTCCATGTCCGACTGGCATTTCATAGAGGTGGATTTATGTCTTGAGCTTGTTGTGAAATAGCAGCGTTATTTGTGGCTTAATCGGTAAAAGTTGCTAACTTGTAATAACAGTTCCTGTAGCAATCATGGCTAATCTGTGTATTGGTTATATGAAAATCTGAATATTGGTGTTTATAATTCAGTCCTATAAAGCTGATTGAGTTTCATTTCTTAGGCACGCTGCTCCAGTAGAAAGCAGGGGAAATGAAATGATAAAACTTCATATTGAAATAGACTCTTTAGTTATTAAATCTGTTTTGGATTTTTTAAGCTTAGCATTTTTTTAAAAAAAATTAAATCTTTTACTTCAGCAACAGCGAACTTTATTATGATCAAGGACGAAAACAGAACAAAAATGTAAGAGATTCCAAAATGAGATTTGATGGCAGCATGCAGTAAAAATAACGTAAGATGGAACAAGATAACATCCAGAGCACTGAATAGTACTTCAGTTTTTAAAAGTCTGTATTTCTAAAACTATAGCCCAAAAGTAATTATTTAAAAAAATAAGTTCAACTGAGTTTAGTACGTCTTAATTCCAGTTAAAAATGACTAGAATCACATATATATCAAACAATTACTGGCTCTATTTGTTTAAAGTAGGGGAATCCAGGTAGAGATTTGTGGCATCTGTTTACAGCAGTGTTTCTCAACCTTGGCAGCTTTCAGAGGTGTGGACTTCAACTCCCAGAATTCTGGGAGTTGAAGTCCACAC